TATTTAGGTTTTCTTAGTTCTTCCCTGGTCCATTTTGTAGATGCATGTGTCCAGAATCTTATCCATTTCTGATAGGTTTTCCTGTTTGCTGGCATACAGGTCCCTGTAGTAATTTATGATGATCCTTTTATTTCTGTGGTGTCTGTTGTTACGTTTCCTTTTTCATCTCCGATTTTATTGATTTGGGTCTTTTCTCTTCTTTTTTTAGTTAGTTGGGCCAATGGGGTGTCAATTTTGTTTATTTTTTTCAAAAAACCAGCTTCTCGCTTGGCTTATTTTTTGTAATGTTTTTTTGGATTCAATCCTGTTAATTTCTTCTCTGGTTTTAATTATTTCTCTTCTCCTACTAGATTTGGGTTTGGTTTGCTGCAGTTTTTCTAGGTCCTTGAGGTGCGCTGAAAGCTCATTTATTTGGTACCTTTCCAATTTCTTGATATAGGCCCCTATTGCTATAAATTTGCCTCTCAATACTGCTTTTGCTGTATCCCATAAGTTTTGATATGTTGTGTTGTTGTCTTCATTTACTTCCAGAAAGTTTTTGATTTCTCTTTTGATTTCTTGAATGACCCATTGTTCATTCAGGAGCATGTTGTTCAGTCTCCATGTGTTTGCATACTTTCTGGGGTTTCCTGAGTTGCTAATTTCCAGCTTCAATCCGCTGTGGTCTGAGAAGCTGCATGGTATGATTCTAATTCTTTTAAATTTGCTGAGACTTGCTTTATGGCCTAGTATGTGATCAATCCTAGAGAAGGTTCCATGCACTGCTGAGAAGAATGTGAAGTCTGTAGATGTAGGGTTGAAAGTTCTGTAGATATCTGTTAGATCCATTTGGGCAATAGTGTCAATTAAATCTGCTGTTTCCTTGTTGATCTTCTGTCCGGGTGATCTGTCTATTTCTGAGAGTGGAGTATTGAAGTCCCCCAGTACTATTGTATTGGAATCTAAATCTCCCTTTAAGTCCCTTAACATATCTTTTAAATAGACCGGTGCCCTGTAATTAGGTGCATATACATTTTTTTATTTATTTTTTTGACAGGCAGAGTGGACAGTGAGAGAGAGAGAGACAGAGAGAAAGGTCTTCCTTTGCCGTTGGTTCACCCTCCAATGGCGCACCGCGCTGATCCGATGGCAGGAGCCAGGAGCCAGGTGCTTTTCCTGGTCTCCCATGGGGTGCAGGGCCCAAGCACCTGGGCCATCCTCCACTGCACTCCCTGGCCACAGCAGAGGGCTGGCCTGGAAGAGGGGCAACCGGGACAGAATCCGGCGCCCCGACCGGGACTAGAACCCGGTGTGCCGGCGCCGGTAGGCGGAGGATTAGCCTAGTGAGCCGCGGCGCCGGCGGTGCATATACATTTATAATAGTTACATCTTCCTGTTGAATTGAACCCTTAATCATTATATAGTGTCCCTCTTTGTCTCTCTTAACAGTTTTTGTATTAAAGTTTATTTTGTCTGATATTAATATGGCTACACCTGCTTTTTTTTGGTTTCTGTTGGCATGGAATATCTTTTTCCAACCTTTCACTTTCAGTCTGCATGCCTCTTTGTTAGAGAGATGTGTTTCTTGTAGGCAACAAATAGTTGGGTTGTGTTCTGTGAGCCAGTCAGCCAAACGGTGTCTTTTAACTGAAGAATTCAGACCATTAATGTTCAATGTGACTATTGATACATAGTGACTTTGCCCTGCCATTTTCCCGGAGATATTTTCTAGTATATGCTTTGAGCTTCCCATGCTCTTTTACTGGTAGGTGTTCTTCCTTTAACGTCTTTCATATTGATGGCCGTGTTTCTGTGTTTCTGAGTGTAGCACATCTTTAAGTATCTTTTGCAGGGCCGGACGAGTGGCCACAAAGTCTTTCAATTTCTGTTTGCTATGAAAGGTCTTTATTTCACCTTCATTCACAAATGAGAGCTTGGCAGGATATAATATTCTGGGCTGGCAATTTTTCTCTCTTAGCACCTGTGCTATGTCTCGCCATTCCCTCCTAGCCTGTAGTGTTTCTGATGAGAAGTCTGCTGTGAGTCTGATTGGAGATCCTCTGAGAGTAATCTGACGTTTCTCTCTTGCACATTTTAGGATCTTTTCTTTATGTTTCACTGTGGTAAGTTTAATTACCACGTGTCGTGGTGAGGATCTCTTTTGGTCATGTTTATTGGGGGTTCTATGAGCTTCCTGTACTAGGATATCTCTGTCCTTCTCCAAACCTGGAAAGTTCTCTGCTAGTATCTCACTAAAAAGGCCTTCCAATCCTTTCTCTCTCTCCATGCCTTCAGGAACTCCTAGAACTTGAATGTTGGTTTTTTAAATAGTATCCTGTAGATTCCCAACAATATTTTTTAGATTTCTAATTTCCTCTTCTTTTCTTTGGTTTGACTGTATGTTTTCCTGTGCTCTAATCTTCTAAGTCCGATATTCTCTCTTCTGCTTCACCCATTCTGTTTTTAAGGCTTTCTAATGTGTTTGTCATTTGATCTATTGAGCTCTTCATTTCATTTTGATTTCTCTTCACTATTACACTTTCCTGTTCTACTAGTTTCTGAGTTTCATTTTGACTCTTCCTTAAAATTTCATTTTCACGAGAGAGATTTTCAATCTTGTCCAATAAGGATTTCTGTAGTTCAAGGATTTGCTTTTGAAAACTTTTAAATGTTCTTATCATAAATTTTTTGAAATCCGTATCTTGCATTTCTTCTATCTCATCATCTTCATACTCTTGGCTTGGGGTGTTTTGCTTATTTGGAGGCATCATAGTGTCATCGTTGATCTTGCTCCCTCTATTTCTGTGTTTGTTACTCGGCATAGTTAATGCTTCTTGCGTCACTGTGCGTTTTTTTTTCTTTTTTTTTTTTTTATACTGTGTCCGTGTTAAGTGGACTGCCTGCTGTTGGAGGAGCCTTGGAGGCTTGAGATGGGTGCGGCCTGAGAGCTCTGCCTGGTTCTTCCTGGTTAAGGGTGTGCAAAGGTGACACCCTCAGGTTATGCGTGGTAAATCTCTCTCTTTTTATTTATTTATTTATTTTATTTATTCAGGGGGTAAGTAACACTGCAGGAGATTGCTTTATCTTACAGAAGCCAACCTGAAGGCACATACGTCTACACAAGATGAAATCATAGCTTCCAAGCCTCCTTCCTCTCAGCTGAAAAGACCTCACAGAGTTTTCTCTTTCCAAGTGTCTGTCAGTTCAATGGCGCATTAATGACGATTTTCAATGTCACTGAGTTATCACACTTGCTCTATTTTAAATTTTGTACATAGTGTCTTTTGTTTCATTGGTCAGCCTGGGATTAACATTCAACTATCTGGAGACACTGGTCCCTAATTAGTGCTGGTGGCAGCTTTTCTTCCATGAGCAACAGGGAGATAAAGCCAGGGTTAGAGTCCTGAAGATACAAGAGATATTTTTTTTCCTCCAAGCCCCTCAGAGAACCCCTGGTAAGTTGAATCTCGGTTTCCCTCGTGCCCACTCCATTTCTCTCATTCTCTCTCTCTCTCTCTCTCTCTCTCTCTCTCTCTCTCTCTCTCATGTTATTTGTTTCTTTTCTTTCAGTGACTTGTACCACATGCAACCAGGCAATGAAACTCAACCTTCAGAATTCCTTCTCCTGGGATTCTCAGAGGACCCAGCACTGCAGCCACTCATATTTGGGCTCTTCCTCTCCATGTACCTGGTCACTGTGGCTGGGAACCTGCTCATCATCCTGGCCATCCTATCAGACCCCCAGCTCCACACACCCATGTACTTCTTCCTCTCCAACCTGTCCTTGGTGGACATCTGCTTCACCTCCACCACCATCCCCAAGATGCTGGTGAACATCCAGATGCAGAGCCAAGCCATCAACTATGCAGGCTGCATCACCCAGATGTTCTTCTTCATACTCTTTGTAGGGTTGGATGATTTACTCCTGGCCGTGATGGCCTATGACAGGTTTGTGGCCATCTGTCACCCCCTGCACTATACAGTCATCATGAACCCCAGGCTCTGTGTGCAGCTGGTGCTGGTGTGCTGGGTCATCAGTGTCCTGCATGCCTTGTCACACAGCTTAATGGTGCTGCAGCTGTCCTTCTGTGTACACCTGGAAATCCCCCACTTCTTCTGTGAACTGATTCAGGTGATCCACACTGCCTGCTCTGACACTCTTCTTAATGATGTGTTGCTATTTCTTGCAGCAATGCTCCTTGGTGGAGGTCCCCTGGCTGGGATCCTGTACTCCTACTCTAAGATCGTCTCCTCCATCTGTGCAATCCCCTCAGCTCAGGGGAAGCATAAAGCATTCTCCACCTGTGCCTCTCACCTCTCTGTCGTCTCCTTATTTTATGGAACGGGCATAGGTGTGTACCTCAGTGCTGGTGCAGCCCCCAGCACAGCCTCTAGTGCCACAGCCTCTGTGATGTACACGGTGGTCACCCCCATGCTGAACCCCTTCATCTACAGCCTGAGAAACACAGACATCAAAAGAGCTTTGAAAGGAATCTTTGGCCAGAAACTATAAAGTAGTCCATTGAGATGGGGCTGAAGATGTGTCTATGACTGCAGGGCCCCGAGCTCCAGAGCCACACACTGAGAAGATTTACCAGATGTGGAAGTAGAAGTCAGCGAACTCAAGAGGCTTCCATAGCCTTGGAAACTCATGAGTAGAGCCTAGGGAGATTACTGACGCCATAAACAAGAGTGGCAAATTGTTAAGTCAACAACAGGAGTCACTGTGTACTTACTTCTCGTGTGGGATTTGTCCTTAATGTGTTGTCCAATGTGAATTAATGCTATAACTGGTACTAAAACAGTACTTTACACTTTGTGTTTCTGTGTGGGTGCAAACTGATGAAATCTTGACTTAATATATACTAAATCAATCTTCTGTATATAAAGATAATTGAAAATGAATCTTGGCTGGCGCCGCGGCTCAATAGGCTAATCCTCTGCCTGCGGCACTGGCACACCAGGTTCTAGTCCTGGTTGGGGTGCCGGATTCTGTCCTGGTTGCCCCTCTTCCAGGCCAGCTCTCTGCTGTGGCCTGGGAGGGCAGTGGAGGATGGCCCAAGTGCTTGGGCTCTGCACCCACATGGGAGACCAGGAGGAGGCACCTGGCTCCTGGCTCCTAGCTTTGGGTCAGCGTGATGCACTGGCCACAGTCCGCGGGCTGTGGCGGCCATTGGAGGGTGAACCAACGGCAAAGGAAGACCTTTCTCTCTGTCTCTCTCTCTCACTGTCCACTCTGCCTGTCAAAAAAAAAAAAAAAAGAAAATGAATCTTGATGTGAATGGAATGGGAGAGGGAGCAGGAGATAGGAGGGTTGTGGGTGGGAGGGAATTTATGGGGAGGGGGGAAGCCATTGTAATCCATAAACTGTACTTTGGATAATTATATTTACTAAATAAAAGTTTAAAAAACCAGATGTGGAAGTAGAACATACTTATTCAATTCAATGCAGTGTCTTTCTTTCTTTTCTTTCTTTTTTAAGTCAACTGTTGTGTAAAAAAGGACTCATCCATTACACTTTATGTTACCTGTGACATCTAACAAAACGTCCTATGTCACTTTCCTTTCCCCCAGTTTTATTACCAACTTTGTCAAGTAAGCAAAAGAGCTTCAGACTTTTCATGGGAACATGGAAGCAAGAGAAGAGTTAGTTTCTGTGCTAAGCAACTTGGAAATTCATGCATGGTTTTTATACCACACTAGCCCATGAACTGTGTGAAGTATTGAACTTTTCCACATGCCTGATGCTAAAATGTATATGTATTTTTAACAATTATTTCTTGTCAAATAACATGTATAATGTTAAATAGTCTCCTTTTCAACTTCATAGTTTTTGGAGATAACATATCTTTATTTTACATTGAAAATACTTAATGCTCTAGTTCTGTGGACACCTTAACGCTCTTAGTTATGTGAACACCTATGCTTGGCAATTAAATCCATTCATATAATTTTTTAGGATTTCATTTGTTTAAGAAATAAAGTTACAAAAAGAGGGAGAGACAAAGAGAAAGGCCTTCTATCTGCTGGTTCACTCCTTAAATAGCTGGTGCAGCTGGAGCTGGGCTGATCTGAAGCCAGGAGCCAGGAGCTTTCTCTGGATATACAACGTGGATGCAGGGGCCCAGGCACTTGGACCATCTTTTTTTTAACTTTTATTTAATGAATATAGATTTCCAAAGTACAGCTTATGGACTACATTGGCTCCCCCCACCATGACTTCCCTCCCACCCGCAACCCTCCCCTTTCCCACTCTCTCTCCCCTTCCATTCATATCAAGGTTCATTTTCAATTTTCTATATATACAGAAGATCAGTTTAGTATACATTAAGTAAAGATTTCAACAGTTTGCACCCCCATAGAAACACAAAGTGAAATATACTGTTTGAGTACTCGTTATAGCATTAAATCTCAATGTACAGCACACTAAGGACAGAGATCCTACATGAGGAATAAGTGCACAGTGACTCCTGTTGTTGACTTTACAAATTGGCACTCTTGTTTATGGCATCAGTAATCTCCCTATTCTCCAGTCACGAGTTTCCAAGGCTATGGAAGCCTCCTGAGTTCACTGACTCTGATCATATTTAGACAAGGTCATAGTCAAAGTGGAAGTTCTCTCCTCCCTTCAGAGAAAGGTACCTCCTTCTTTGAAGACCTGTTCTTTCCACTGGGATCTCACTCACAGAGATCTTTCATTTAGGACCATCTTTCACTGCTCTCCCAGGCGATAGCAGAGAGCTGGATTGGAAGTGGAGCAGCCAGGACACAAACCAGCACACATATGGGATGCCAGCACAGCAAGCAGAGGCTTAGCCTACTATGCCACAGCGCCAGCCCCCCATTTTTTAAAAATAGAATGAATCCTCAGAACAAAATTTACTTTTTTGTCCCTGCTATTCCTGCAAATATACTTCCCCAAGCACCTCCTCTGGACCATGCAGATGATAATACTAGTGAACCGTATAAACTGAGTCTCTACTACTCTACTGTATCTCACCACTCTCTTATATCTGGGTAGAATCTCCATGGAAAAACAAATGGCAATATAGATTCCTTTGACATGGGTGAGAGTTAGAGACAACCTTCAATAAAGGAAGCAAGGTTTTCATTCATAGGCATTATCATGAGGCAATGACATTTTATTGTCGGGTGCAGATTGGGGTGTGAGGGGGTGTCGTCATCAACAAGGTGAAGGGGGTCTGATTGTTGGGTGAAGGCTTGGCTGATTGTTATGTGTTGCTTCATTGATTTGATGCCTTGCCTGCACTAAAGGAAGTATCGCTCCTTTTTCTGCAGTAGGCACAGCCAAGGGAATGGTGTGAATGGACATCAACACCATCCACTCCACTCCATTTCTCCTTCATTCCCAGGAATCTCTCCAGTGAGGACTCTCAGAGACCTTGAACTGCCATCTGGTCACCTGCATCAGGGTCACATATCTTCTTGTTCAAAGGCACATGCCCTGTCAATGCTCCTGACTCCCTAAAGGGCAGCTTCAACATGCTGACTTGGGAAACACCAGACATGAAGTGAACTTGAACAGCAAATTACATGTCAATGTTGTCTCCCAATACGTGAACCAATGCCAAAAACAAGATGCATCAGATGATTGCCATCTCTTTCTGTTCCATCCCCTTGGGTTATTGTATACATTAGGCTTTCTTGAAAATAAACCATCCTGAAATAAAGTCGTTTAATAAAACAACTCTTTATGGAGCAGAACAGGGCTATGGGGAGTTGCTATGAAGGTCAGCTCCTCCTGATTCTGCACTTGACTGTGAGAGTCTGTGTCATCACTCTGAGGCTCATCCATGATTCTATGTGTAGCAATAGTGGTTTTCTCTCAGCCTTTCTGTCCTGGGATTGTTGTGGGCCAGGTTAGGCCTGAATCTTTAGTCCAGATGCCTGTCTTTTATTGAGAGAAGAATTCTAAGTACAGGCACAAGAATGATGTGCATGCAATGTGATAAGTTTCATTTGTGGAGTGAGAAGAAGGCATAGGAACATGAGGGGCTTATTGAGGGAGAGTGGACCAGGAAGTGTGGAGAGAGACTTCCAAACCAGTCTTTCCCTGGTATGAGAGTCCCCTGCCCTCCACCAGGCTTCTTATGACCTTTGAAAAGGGGAGTGGTTCGGGCATCAAAAGCCAAGACACTGTGGCAAAAATGACCTAAGTGAAAGAGCTCTGTGAGTGAGATCCTGGTAGAAAGAAAGGGCCATCAAAGAAGGAGGTACCTTTCTCTGAAAGGAGGAGAGAACTTCCACTTTGACTATGGCCTGGTCTAAATAAGATCAGAGTTTGTGAACTAAAGAGGATTCCATAGCTGTGGCAGCTCATGACAAGAGCCTTGGGTGATTACTGACTTTATAAACAAGAGTGTCAATTGTTAAATCAACAACAGGAGTCACTGTGCAATTGCTCCCCATGGTGGACCTCTGTCCTTAATGTGGTACACTATGAGAATTAACTGTAAAACTGGTCTGTTTCTGTCTGTGTGAGTGCAAACTGTTGAAATCTTTACTTAGTATAGAGTTGATCTTCTGTATATAAAGATAATTAAAAATGAATCTTAATGAATAATGGGATAGGACAGGGAGTATGAGATGGGTGGTTTGCAGGTGGGAGGGTGGTCATGGGGGGAAGAACTGCTATAATCTATAGTTGTACTTTTGAAATTTATATTTATTAAATAAAACTTTTCTATAAAAAAAGAAAAGGGGAGTGGTTACATAGCACTGCCGCCAGGTCCCAGGTAAGAGGAGGGGATTACATGGGAGTGGGTTAGGTGCGGCCTCCAGCTCATGAACTTTATCTATCTCTCTCCCTGACTTTTTCAGTATCAGTGTGCAACCTGTTCCTCTGGCCTGGGTGAGACCTGTGCCATTTGCCATGAAATTCTCACACCTGTGTCAATGCCTGTGTGTTAACTGGAACCTTCATGACTGAGCTAAATTCACATCTTTATGGTACATACATTAAGATATTTCCTTATAATGTCCATGTGTATATCACGTTAGCATCTCTGTCAAAACAAATAACCCTACTCGTGATTTAAGGCAAACAAATTGGTGCTCTTAAAAGTACAGGGCTCAGAAGCATGGGATGGATTCTCCTTGGGCCAAAATAATAGAGTAATGGCCTTCATTGCTTCTGGGGGTTCCACAGTGAAACCCATTTCCTCTCCTATTCCAGCTCCTGGTGACTAATTGCAGTCCTAGGTTTTCAGCCCATCTTTGAGGCCAGTAGGGCAGCACCCACCAGTCTCTCCCCAAGTCCAAGTCTGTACCTTCCTCTTCCAGGTCTAGAGAACCACTGTGATCCCACCAGTCCCTCCTGGATAATCTAGAATCATCTTTTCATTGATCAGTAACTTAAATCTACCCCCAGTACACCATCTGCCATGGAAGCTAACACATTCACACCACACTCAATTTAAAGAACAATATAATGGTGTTTTGAGGGAGCATTTATTTTGCTTACTTTTTAGATATGCAGTTTTTGATGTCACC